CACACACACACACACACACACACACACACACACACACACACACACACGACCTAGAGATAAGGAAAGGAAAGGGGCCTGGACTAGGGGTGCTTGGCGAACAAGAGCATCCTTAGGTAGTGCAGGAGAGGAATCTGCATCCCAGGGAGAAAAAGGAAAATTGAGGCCAATGATTCCAAAAGATCAGCCCCTCACCCCTTCCCACTCTGCGCTGAATCTAGCAGGAAGCCCCCTCCCCTTCTCAGATCCGCGGAGCTGTGTAATGGCTCAAGCCGCAAAGCTCTTGGGCAGCTCAGCTGTGATTGTCAGCATTTCCCCCCTCGTGAGCTGGTGACAACTTTCCTCTCGGGTGCTTGGAGCAGTTACGTTTTCCCCTCTCCGGAGGCTCACTGGCCTTAGCCTCCTGTTTAGAGAAAGCTTTTTTATAAACATTAGTGGGGTCTGGGCGGGGGTGACAGGCGTGACAGGCAGAAGGCAGCAGGGTTTGGAGAAGGATGCACAGTATAAATACAGGTGTGAGGACAGACACCAACTCCGTGAGTGTGTTCTAAGCCAGGACGATCAGAGTTTAGAGAGACATGAGTCAATCTGAGTCCTTTAAAAGTAATCCCCATAAGGGAGAATTGTCTCCTGGTGTCCTTCAAAGAGTGCAGTTTGGGTTCAGTCTAAGGGGGACATTTGTTCCCAGAGACTACTTCCTGTTGAAACCACTTGGGAGGCAGGGAGTCCAAGGACTGTATGAGCAAAACAGATAATTCAACAATTTCATTTTAGCTGAGTTTCAACCCCTACTCTCACTATACTTTTTTTTTCTTCTTTTTCTTTCTTTGTGTCCCTATGACTTAAACACAATGCCTGGCACATAGAAAGCACTTAATAAATGCTTGTTGACTGACTGACTACATCATAGCATAGTCAGCCCTATGTCTGAGCAGAACAAATGATCACCTAAATAGTGAAATTTCAAATACTCCAGGAAAGATATTACTGTCCCTATTCCCTCCTCCTTACCCGTACCCCGTGTCATTTTCCTTCCTTCTTCCTGGCACCTGAAATTTCTCTAAGATATTTAACACTTTGGGTTGTGCTGCCCTCCCCTCCAGCCTCTGCATCTGGAATGTCAACACCCCTGGTGGGAGGGGGATCACATTAGATCACTGATACTTTCCTAGAATTATAGATTTAGAGCTTGGGGGGACCACAAAGGGCTGCCTAACTTAACTCCCTCTTTTTACAGATGAAACCAAGGCCCAAAGAAGTGACCTGCCTAGCCTTACCTTACCCAAGGTTATAGGATTTGAACCTGGGTCCTCCAAATCCAACACTTTTTTCACAGTACAATAGCTTTCTGTGTGATCTTCCTGCCTCAGAACTCTTCCCTTATGCCAGTCCATCCTCCCTTCTAAGTTATCTCCCTAAAGCACAGCTCTGACCACCGGATCCTCTCCCCTTCTCAGCTCCACTGGTTTCTTATTCCCTCCAGGATCAACTAGGTCCTTTTGGTACATACACATCTATCCTGCTTAAATGTTTTCTCACCCCATTAAAATGAAAACTTGAAGATGGGAAGTAGGAACCTTTGCATCCTCAACCCTTAGAACAGTGCTTGGCAAATAGTAGGTGTTTAATAAGTGCTCGTTGACTCGACCCACCTTGCCAGACCTTAACAATTTCCGAAGGACCTTCCATGGTTATTACATTTTATCCTCACAACAACCTTGTGAGGAGGTCAGGGCAGGGGTTATCATCTTTATTTTACAGCTGAAGAAACTAAATCTCAGAGAGAGAAACTTATTTGATTAAGGTCACATAGCTAATAAGTGACAAAGCCTGGAGTAGTACTTAAGGTCTTCTGATTTCTATCTTTTATAGTTCTAAATGTTAAGTGCAGTAAGGGACTTTAGGATTTTAGGATCATAAATTTATTTAGGACTTTAGGATCATAAATTTATGTTTTGCCAATGAGGAAACTGAGGCACCGAGCGATTAAATGACTTGCTTAGAATCAAATGAATTCCAAGTCTTCCTGACTCCAGGTCCAGTGCCTTATCCTCTAGGCCATGATGGCTCTCCTTTAGACGTAGCCTTCTTAACAAGGCACCTTATTTAAGGCAGTGGAGAATAACTTACCCACACCATAGTTTAGAAGAAATCTGTTCCCCCAGATAGGCTATGATAAGCCCTGCACTTTTCTTGGGGGGGAAGGAGTCAGACTCGGCTGGAAACTAATCAGCTGGGTCCAGGGAAATTAGCAACTCCTGGCCTAGCTCATTTCATCTGCTCTATATTTCCCTGGGGAGGGTTGTGTGTCTAGGGCCAGCTTTCTGGTGGTCAAGAGTAATTGCTATTACATTTTATCAGGTTATTAGAGGATGATTGAGGAAGCCTTGAGGAAGAAGAGAAGGCTGGTACTTTAATGATGGGAAGCTGGATTGCAGAGGATGGTGGGAGGGGGCCCAACAGTTGACCATAGAGTTGGGCTGTAGTGGAGGGCAGAGAGGTCCCACTGGAGTTTAGAGTTTAGAAGCAAAAGACCTGGTAAGTGGCCTCTAGCCTAGGTGTTCTTATATGAATCCCCTGAGGAGATGCTTACAATAGCTTTCTGAACTTCCTGGCGCTTTCCCCACCCCTCACCAGACCTACACCAGCACCTCCCCAATTGTTGTATTGATTGGTATTAGGGGTTGAGTTACTTTTGCTGCTTCTCAGTCCCCTCATAGGCAGTGAACTCCCCAAGGGCACAGACTGTGTCTAGACAATATTATTAATGCATTCATTCCACCAGCCCTTTTTGGGCAACTTCTATTCAATTTAATAGAGTTCTGGTGTAGGGTAGTGGCAAAACAATGGGATTTGACCTCAAAAGGACCTGGGCTCAAATCTCAGCTCTGGGCCAGTCACCTCCCCCCCTCCCCCCAAGCCTCAATTTTCTCATTTGTAAAATTAGAGAGTGGACTTCATGAATGAAGTTAATCTATTTATAAGCATTTATCAAGCAGGTCCTGTGCTAGGTATCGGGGATAAAGACAAACAAAAAACGGGAAAGAGCCCTGCCTCTGGGAGCTTCTGTGGCAGACAGAGGAGCACCTATATAAGTAGATACTAAATATATAGAACAAAAAAACCACAGGATAATTGTGGGGGGGGGGGGAGTGAGGCGTTAGCGGGTAATGAGGGAGTAGATTCCTGATGTGGAGGATGGAGGATGGCTTGTGCGAAGACATCAAGGTAGAAGGTTGTGTTTGAGAGATAACAGGTAGGATAGTTTGCCTGGAAGTTAGTGTGGGAAGGAGAGTAATGTGTGATAAACTCAGGAAGGAAGATCCTCTCTTCCTACTTCCCTCCTCCTCTCCCTCCTCTCCTTCCTCCCTTCCTCCCTTCCCTGTTGTCTCCCTTTCTTCTTTCCTTCCTCCTCCCTCCTTTCCTCTTTCCCTCCCTCTGTCCCTTCTTTCCTCCCTCCATCTTTTGCTCCCTTCCCCCTCCTTCCTTTACCTCCTTCCTTCCTTCTTTCTTTCCCTTCCTTCCTTCATGCCTTCTTCCTCTTCATTTAAAAAAAAATTTTTTTCTCTTCTGAGCTTTTGCCTCCTCTTTCACTTAAGCTGGAAAGGCCTCAGTTCCTTCCCATCCCCATCCTACTGCTGATCAGCAAAGGAGCATTGATCTGCAAAATTCTCACCAGGGAGGATATACAGGACCACATACAAAGCAAGTACAAGGTGGACCCAGATAGAGAGGCACAAGCGGCAGGGGAGACCAGGAAGGGCCTCCTACAGAAGGTGGGGCTTGAGTGGACTTAAAACTTTTTAAAAAAATTTTTATTAAAAATTTTTTATTCTGAACTCAGAACATTTCCCTATACACAGCAGAACCAAAAAAAGATTCTTTATGAAATCCTGAATCTCCATTTCATACTAATTGCTTTTTTAAGCATTTAAGTTCTAAATGTTATTTTCAAAACTGTGCTGCTTGTCTGTGCTTCCTTCTGAATTTCCTTCTGTTCTCTTTCATGCATTTAAAACATTTCAACGGCCCCCATTTTTTTGGCATCACTACTACTAAACCCTGCCTCAATTCCCCAATTAAAAACTGAAAGAAGCAAAAAAAAAAAAAAAGAAAAAGAAAGAAAACTGAAAGAAGGAAAAAAATTCCTCGAAAAAAATAAACATAGACAAACAAAATGAATTCATGCAATGATCATGTCCAAAAATAAATATCTCTTCCTGTACCTTGTGTCCATCACCTCTCTGTCAGAATGGGAGTAACATTTAATCATAGATCCTCTAGAGACATGGTTGAATATTTTGAACAGTTTTTAAGTCTCCAAAAATTTTTTTCTTTTAAAAATAATTGAGTTTTTATTGATGTATTTTTAAAAAAATATCACCCTAATTTACCCTACCCCCCTCCCAGAGAGTCATCCCACCTAACAGAATTTTTAAAGACAAAAAAGGAGAAAATAATAAGAGGAATAAATATGTGGAGTATATAACACCTGTGGACCTTTCACCTCTTCAAAGAGCTGGGGGGAATTCTCTCTCTTCTCAGATCCCTTCTTTGGGTCCATGTTCTTCCCTTGGGCCATGCTTGTTTTTATATTCACTTTTGATTGTTGTAGTCATTTACATTGTTGCAGTCATTGTATATATTGTTTCCTTGGTTC